TATAAGAAATAAAATAGGTACCTATGTAAAGTATAATAATTATTATACGTAATACACTATAATATAATACATATTGTAGTTGGGTAACTAATACAATAGTATAAGAATAGTTAATAGTTTAGAATATTACAGGACGTATAACGATTATATAGCTATTTTAACAACTTAAATGTAATGATGTACATTAGGTATTTATTTATTCGTAACTCGTATAGGGCCGTTGAATTGAATTATTTTGTACTGCGTAAACTGTTGAAAGTCATATTATACAGTTTGTAGTTAGTGAATACTGGGTATTTTTCATAAAATATCGAATAAATAACAGGAAATACGTCAACACATGTAATGATGGTTGGTACAATACTACAATAATTGTAACGAAAAATCTAAAATTATCGCGGAATATTGTTATCGTAATCACATGGAATACCCGTAAAGTGGTAGTATGCCAGTATAATATCAAAATATTTTTAGATTTTATGGTTTTATTATAAGAGAATAAAAGTATATATTATTATATATAATTGTTATTTTATCTTAATACGATGAAAACATTATTAAATATTAATTTTCACGTAAAGTCCGTCAGTCGTGTGCTGTGTTACCATTTATTTATATAGCTCTTGTGTAAACTGTGGCAACTGTGCATTTAATTTTTAATGAAACTTTGCCATTGTATCTGCATCCTAATTTGAATGATGACAATTCAAGTTTGAGCTCTAACGATTCAAACAGTGACGATACTACATCTGAACAATTAAAAAGGTGGCAAAATTCATCAAGTTTAATGTGTGTTTTTCAAGATTTCTGTAAAGCTGGTCTAAAATCTATTTTCCCAAGTTTATTTATGCTTATAAAAATTGGAGTGACTATTCCAGTATCAAGCTGTTTCCAGAGAGATCTTTTTCCAATTCAAATTAATAAAAACTCCTTTAAGAAGCACAATGGGGGAAGATCTGATGCGTATCACCTGTGAAGCTGAATAATCCAATTATTTTTTGTCAATTTTTTTTTAGTGAATATTTTACTCTTTACTATGATTATCATTAAAATAAATAAAAATTATTTATTTAAAAGTTTAAATTATTTTATTTATTATTTTTTTTATTATATTATAATTTATAACTACTACTATTAATATTTTATTTGTGAAATTCTATTATTAATTATTAGTAACTTATATTATTACAGTATTACAACAGTTTCAAGTTATGTGTACCTATATTATTAATTTTTATAATATATTTAAATAATTTTTAAAGAAATATATAAAAATGTGTGTTATTGTAAATAGAGGAATATTATTAAGGGGGGTATGGGGGGCAGAGCCCAACATTAATTTGTAAAATTTTTTTTTTGGGTACGTGGTGGGTGTATTGCTTATTTTGGAAAGTTTGCCCGACTATTTTAATACTGTCTCGGCGCCACTGATACGAATATATGTAGGTAGGTAGGTATATATATTTTTTTTTAATTTGGTAATGATACAAAAAAATCTGTGAGTGCATCCATTAATAATTACGTTTTATTACCTAATCATAAAACTGATATACACAGACAAAATAATTGAGTTATCTGTCTTTTGTTTATTTCAACACAAAATAAAATAAAATTTGGATTGCTATAAAATGTTTGGGACAAATGGCCCGCTTGGTCCGGTCATTTATATGTGTCATGTGTGTAATCAAGATTGAATTCGACTTGGCAACAGCGCATGGATCTCATAAGTTCTGTTTTTTCAAAAGTTAAAGTTAGTATGGATCTCGTAAGATAATAATATCAAAAAACAGATCTTACAACATACGAAATGTTTAGAGGAACACTCTGGATCTCGAAAAGGAGGGTGTAGATGAAATTAAAAATGAGTGTTATTGTATTGTTAATACCATACTGAAATCAGAAATTGTTTTTAATAACTATGCCCTTACTCCAACTTCAAAATTATGTTTAGAAATGATGGATCCCACAACAACGTTAACCCCATACGGATCTCTAATTGTACGATGTACCTGTATGCGTGTGTGTGTGTGTGTGTGAACTCACTCAGTGATTATGTTCATGTGACCAGATATTGTTAATAACAGCAATAACACTATGTTACTATCATACTTTCATCATCCGTGATCCAAATGTGTGTGTAAAAAAAGTAATTTGCTTACTCTATAACGTACACATGTTTATAAATATCTTCAAAATCTGAAATGTTTGTATAATCATAAGATTGAGAAACTATTACTGAAATCAAACTGTGTTTATAGTAATTATATTTACCTGAATTATAAATGGAATGAATTATATGAATCATATATATCTCTGTCGGTTTTATCTTGTATGAGTAAAATGGTACATTTATTACAGGATCAGTGGCGGATCTATGGGGGGGGCGACGTGGCGATCACCCCCCCCCCCCCTTGGGCTTTTTTTTTATTACAGATTTATTTAATATTTTCGATTTATAGATTTACACATTACACAATACATTTTTATAAATTAATAATTATTAATTATTATTTTTTTTTTCTCTTTATGTTTCATGATAACAATGATAACAACTTTATCAGACAATGACATATTTATTTATAGTATTTATACCATAGATTTATATTATTAATAATATAATATATCTATGATTTATACATAGAAATTATCTGTGATAGTGTGATTATTTATTTATAATGGATGCAAAATGTTGATGGATGAATTGGACATTCATTTGAAAATGCCTAGGGTGTCAGCTCATCAAAAAAATAGATCAAATCCGAATAACATAAATAATTGTGAAGACTATTTCAGAATTACAATTTTCATTCCGCTTTAGGTGATATATTACCAAAAAATGTTTTTGATACTTTGGATGCATGTTGTAGGATAATCTTCCCAACAATTAAATCCTTGATTTCTATACTTGCTAGTTTGCCAATTAGTACTGCTTCCGCTGAACGCAGTTTTTCCACTTTGCGCAGGTCAGATAACTAATGATAAAAATAAAATTTTGCTTTTTAATTTAAGATGAAAATATCTGCATCTAAATTCCGAAATGTTTTGCATGTTTGCTTATTTCTTATTGTTTTTAATTTGTAGATTAAAAACATGGTTGAGATCGCGAATGAGCGAACATAGGCTGACTGGCTTGGCTTTATTGCACACGCATAAAGATATTATTGTAAACATAGAAGAAGTAATTAATAGATTTGCAAATGAAAAAAAAAAAGAAACGTACAATTATTATTATAATTATACCTATTTTTGAACAATATATTGTTATAGCTGTTTAAAACAAATAAAGGTACCTACAATTAATTTTAAGTGTTGTACTTCTTTTTCCATAAATTACTTGAACTACGGTCAAGTCTTCATTGCCGGGGCAACAGCAGGAAATGCTTTTTCTTGGTGGGGGGAGGGGTTGAAAAAATGTATACTGATAATTTTATAGTATACGGATTATACAATTTGATCCGGATTGATATACGGATTTCTTGGGGTGGTGACCCCCTCCACCCACCAGGTTTGACCATACTTGGATACATCGGACCGTTTCATATGAAATAATTGGTTTCTGAACATTCGGATCTACATCATTTGGAATAGTCATCCTTCTAGTTTAAAAAAAAATATTTTACATTAAATTAATTAATACTGATAGGTACATTGTTTATACGCTCATTACGTTAGAAAATTGATACGTTTTTTTTTTTAAATCCAAACCACTTTTCGTAAAATTTGTATTAAATTAGTTTTATTTGAACGATTATAAAACTTGAACAGTATTGAGCATTAAAAACATTTATTATCCTTCGACAGATATTATATACACAAGAATGATATAGGTTATAATTTACTACAATATCATTCGATATATAATTATAAGATAAAATAATAAATAATAACAAAATAATTTATTTATTTCGATTTTATTATCAGCGACTATATATCGTTTAATTTATCATATAATACATTCAATCCTTTCTGTATATTTTTTTCACAGACGAAAGTTGTATATAATAAATTTTTATAATCGTTGATTAATATCTGTTTTTTTTCTTTTAACTTTTTCCGGGTAGCTTTCAAAGACGCGTTCTGTATTTTGACGTTAATATCTCTCATTTTGTTTTTGAAAGTGGCTTCGTCCTTATCCATTCCACGGTTATTTTCCTTCAGTTGTTTTAATATGGAATTAATTTCTTCCCAGATTAATGATTTTTGTGACTCCATTTTTTTTTTTAGTTCTAGAAAATTGTTATAGAATTTGTAAACTATCTACTAGTAATAAAATAATGACAAAAATATAATATAATAATAATTATAAACTAATAATATATTTAATAATTATCCATAATAAATTTAAAAAAAAAAAAAAATTTAACCTGATCTAAACCTTTCACGTTTAGATTCTGCTACCGTAATAAAATCTAACCTTTTACCGAAACATTGTTCTCGATTGCGAAAATTTGTAACCTATAATCACTATATTTTCGACATATATCCATTTTTTTCTCTTAATAAAACTAATTTTACATTTAACTCTTTTAAATAAGACAAATTTGGTTTAGAATTTGTTCTACTTAAATAAATAGTGAATTTGAGGTTTCTAATTTTTTTAAGATCTTTAACATTTATTATTTTATTTATTTTTTTTTTTCTTAATCAAAATAATCATTACGATTTTAATATTTACTTTTATCCTTCAACAGCATTTTTAAAATATATATTAAATAACAATATAATTAATGTTTTAAAGTGTACACATTTAAAATAATTTTAATAGTTATACATTTATAGTATATAAATATAAAATGAGAAATTATCTCTCAAACATCTTAGATAATTGTTTTATTGTTAGTTTTTTATTTATGAGATATATTTCTCATTCTATCTAAAACAAAAATTCTGAATATGTTACGGGTACAGGTGCGGAGTCAATACCAGTAGGGAACGGATTACTTTGTAAATCAACACCTTTAGTTAAGAACCGTCCACATAATATAGATCGTGTATAATAATTAATAACAATAATCTTTAAACGCTTGTATGTCTTTAAATCGAACAAACTGGTATAAAGGATTGTAAGTTTGAAAAGTATAACCACTAGATCTTTCATGATGATAACATGCACTGCTACAATACTTTTGGTCCCCAACATTTTGCATACACAGTTCAACTAATGTATAATTTCTAAGTGGATCGGTTAAAATATTTAATACATGGTCCTTTACCATAAATGGATAATAATCTCCTACTAACATAAAGGTGATTTCAGGTTTAAAACGATAATATTCTAAAGATTCTAGAACATTGTTGATTGTTCTATTTCGTATATTGTTTGAATCGATTGAAGACATATTGTAATTTATAAAAAAATTCAACCCGTAAAAAAAAAAAAATCCATGCTCTAAAAATTAGGATAAATAATTTAGTTTAATAAAAAAGTAATTGTAAAAAATAAAACAACATTAAATTAGATTTATAACTATTTTATGATAGCATAACTAATGTTCAACAATAAAATTTGTATTTTAATTGAATATTGTACACGTATTCGTTTGATTCGTTCCATATGTAACGTACGCCTACCTACCTATAATATTTTTTTTTATAAAAATAATATCTATACTAATGATTTATAGGTACTTACATTGTTAATTTGAGAAGTTGAAATATTTGAAAAAAAAAATTGAACTTTTTCCGTGTATGTTTGTGTTGAGCGTTGTGAGACAATATGATATATTATAAGTTTGTGAGACTTAATGAGATCTTAATGTTTAAGATGAAAATGTTGACTCCCTGATAATATGAGTACTGTTATATAGACGTTTCGTTGAAGTGGTTATTAGTTTTTATAATAATATGTATAATACACATTATATAATATTCGTTTCGACTAAACGTTTATATTGCAGTGTTATCGCTGTTTTTTTATTAAACATTAAAGACTGCGACAGCTCTGTTCATTAACGTAACAGTGATTTAAATTATTATTAATTCCTAAAAAATTATATTATCAATGTAACGTCAATGGTTATTAGTTTTTATAATAATATATAATTATTATAATACACATTATATAATATTCGCTTCGACGAAACGTCTATATGACACTATTATCGTTTTTTTTTTATTAATTATCAAAGACTGCGGTCAGAGCTATCACAGTCTTTGATGTTTAATAAAAAAAACTATATCCGTATCTTGTTATTGCAGACGCTGTCTACTACTATTACTATTATTATTTTTATTTTATTATTGGTCTTAATATAATATAAATTGATTAGAAAATACAAATAGCAAGTCACTTTTAGAGGTAGAACTTAAATCCACTCAACGTATTTTAGCTACAAATTATCTACTGTTTAAAGATATATTTAAAAAAAAAAAAATGTCATTTTCTAATTCGAACATTAGTGATTACGAAGAATCAATGACTGAAAGCGATGTAAGTACAAAATTAATATTAATTTATATTTATATATTTTAAATTTATATTTTTATAATATAATATATTTAATAGTTATATTTGAATAATACTGTATTACACTGGTTCAGTATTATACCTGTGTCTATATTGTATTGAATACGATGTATATATTTTTACTAGATTTTCAGTAACCAAATTGTATATAATTTCAGAACAATTATAACGAGGTGAAACCGGGGACCACAAAAAAACAAAATAAAACAAAAAGAGATGTGAAATTGAAAAAAAATATGTGCAAAACAAAAGTTAAAAAAGTATGTAAAAAAAATTAAAAATTAAAAAATTTACAGTATAATAAAAAAAATTAAATAAAATTACAATTTTTATTATTATTATTAATACCTATAATTATTTTTTTTTAGAATATTTCATATCTGGATAGAATTGGTCCTTTAATTAAAGATGTGAAAGTAAATAATGAACTTATTAATTCGATGATGGTGAAACAAAGTGATGAAATAGTAAACATAAAATTACCATTTGATAACGAAGTATGTAGTGATTACTGGACAATAAATCACTATAAAATAAAAAATATTCAAAATCTTATTTCTAAAGACAGGTAATATATATTATATAAATATATGATTCTTAGAATTTACATGAATACAACTTACAATGACTAACTCCTAAAAAAAAAAATAATTTAAGAAATTCATTGGTTGATGTATGTAATAGTTAAAAGGTTCTTATAATATATTAATGTGCCTGTATGTATATATATTTGTAATGTAAAATACTTATCATTTTAATGATGTTATAGATGGAAAGAAGCTGAGTGCAGTGTAAAAGTATCGATAACTGATTTAGCAAAGGATCAAGGACCCGCAAACGATTTATCCAACATCATACAAACAATATTTACACGGTTCATGTCTAATCCAAACAAGAAAATAGGATGTATTAAAAAATCAAAATCATAATAAATCTGTTTTTAATGGTTGTTGAAAATTAAAATAAAAAACCAATATATTAACTAATCGTACATTTATTTTTAAAAGTGATACAAAAGTAGTGTATATCATGACAAATTAAATAGGTATGTCAGCAAAATACCCGTTTTTAGACGGGTCGCGCATCCACCCTCCGCCCAGCCATGTACTGTGACGTAAGCATTTCTCCGTTTTTCATTGGTCGGCCTCCGCCGCCGCCGACGACTCCACTTCCACTTCACCGCTCAGCCATCGCCTCGCCGCGCCGCATTTGCTTTACAGAATACAGGCCCACCACTTCATCTATATTTTTACTTTTTGATTATAATAAATACATTTTTTATTTTAAAGTTAGATATTATATGCATTTTATTGTTAATTGTTTATTAAAAAAAAAAATATTATTATTATATACCTAATATATATTAGGCTTGTGCTTTAATTTGTATTAAGGTTTACTAGCTACATGTATTTTTATGCTGTAGTAGTATTTTTTTTTCAGAGTTGAAAATATTATAATATAATATTTTCAACTCTGAAATATAATTATAACAAAATTAATTATAATATACAGAATTATAATTATAACATATTAATTCAATAATTTTTTTTTCTACAGCTTATAGGTGTGACAACATTCCTACTAGCCTAAAGTGTCAATTTTTTTTTTATTAATATAATATTTTGTTTTTTTTTTAATATATTATAAAACATGTATTGTACTGTATGTTACCTACTATAATATATAATCATTATAATCAAAAGTATTATCAAAAGTTTAAAATTGTTATTTATCCTAGTTGTAAAAACATTACAGATCATAGGGGGATATTAGGAAAAAAAGTCTCGGAAAAAAAGTTCCCGGTAAAAAAGTCCCCGGTAAGAAAGTCTCACGGAAAAAAAGTCTTCAAATTAATATTTTATTTAAATTCAGTCTTTTATCATATAGGTATTTATATAGGTACATAGCCCATAGGTAATACATGATACATATTTTTATTGAAAATAATTCTAGGATTAAAAATTATCGTAGATAAGTATTTATATACATAACTAGGTACATTTTAAATTTATTGAAAATAATATAATATCTGAAACATATATAACAATATTATTTAAAAAAAATAAAAATGTAATTATTCAAGTATAAAAGATCTGAAAATTATATAATAGTAAATACAATTTTAACGTAGGTACATATTTTATTCAATTTTTTATTATTTTACGAGGGGTGCATGTCTGAACAAATATATTTTTATATTTTTTAAATAATATTATTATATGTTTAAGATATTATATTATTATATTATTTTCAATAAATTTAAAATTTAAAATGTACCTAATTATGTATATAAATACTTATCTACGATAATTTTTAATCCTAGAATTATTTTCAATAAAAATATGTAACATGTATTACCTATGGGCTATGTACCTATATAAATACCTATATGATGAAAGACTGAATTTAAATAAAATATTAATTTGGAGACTTTTTTTCCGTTTACCAATGTCCACGGTTAAAAAGTATTCGTAAAACACAGAAATATTCAAAAAATTACAAAATATCCAAAAATATGCAAAATAAAACTCCGTGGGTTGAACTCTGGCTTTTGGGTCTGGGAAAAAAACACGCGAAAATATTTCATACATACATTTTTATTATAGCTAAAATATATTTTTTTAAATAATAAAAATACGGTAAGTATACATTTATTATAATCATACAATAAAATATGCATAGTTTAATTTGATCACACTAAGGTGACAACATTTATTTTAAATAATCAATCTTTATAATCTTAATAGCTAATTTCACATAAAATACATCTAAAATGTCAATATTAGGTTAAAGTGTCTACAGAAACGGTGGTAGCCTACACTGAATACTTCAGAGATGTTGCTTTAAAAATAGCATACCACGATTTTGAGCAAATCGGCGGTAGTAACGATATCGTTGAAATCGACGAAACGCATTTATTTCGGGCAAAATACAACGTAGGCCGGCAAATGGCGTGGAGTGCTGTCTGGTTGTTTGGTATGAATTTTATTGTTTTACTAAAATATAATTTATTACAGTAATTTATATTTATAAATAACGTCATATAATATTTTAGGAGGAATAAGTCGTACTACGAAGAAGGTATTCGGTACAGTTGTTCCAGATAGATCAGCAGATACGTTAATACCTATCGCTCAACGGTACATAGATGACGAAAGTTTTATTTGTAGCGACATGTGGAGGGCATACAATACTTGTGGCCAAATCTTTAGGTAAATAAATAGGCATTATAAAATTAATGCAACACAACGCATTTTAGATTATGAGCAGAGCTAGTAAGATCGAGTAACTTTAGATACTAGATATTTGAAATGTATTTTAGCTATCATTTTTTTTTTTTTTCAAAATATTTCAACCCCTTTCAAGTTGTTTACATACATTTTAAAATCTAATCACTTTCATTGTTCTAAAAGGTGATCACAGACACAAAAAAAATATATATAAAATAATAAAAAAAAAAACAAACATCATTGTAAAATCATTACATTCATCGCTCCACACAGAATCTAAAAAATTAAAAATATATTGGTAAGATTTTTTTAAAAGCATTTAAAGTTCAAATTTCGGCAACATTAATCATATTGAAAATTATTTTACAGTTAAAAATTCATAAAATAGCTAAATATTAAAAATGTAAAATAAAATACCTCGTAAGAATTTCATAAACTACCCACAATTATGAATAAAACTAATTATTATACTATTTAGAGTTTAATACATTTTTTAAAGCAAACATGTCATTTAAAGAGATTATAATAAATATAAATATTTTATTCGTCTTTAGTGGACATGGTGTAGTTAACCATACAGTTAACTTTGTCGAGCCACCCAAACATTTACCACCAATTTGGGTACCTGCCGGTCGATTCAGCC